TTCCGCGATGGGTTTTCCAGGCCCTTAATGAGGTTTGTGATTTTCGCTGGCATGTACCCCCGCCTCGTCTACCTTACTCCATGGTACATAAAGCCTGGCTAGCTTTCGTTGGCCTCGGCTCGCCCCTCAAGTGTGGCACAGAGAAGCTACTTGAGCCTGAGGCCCTCAAATCGCTGATTCCAGGCTTTATAATCCAGCCGAAGGGGTCTCAGCTTCTTGAGGGTCAAGAGACCTGCAGCTACACAAATCTTGCTTGCCTGCTAGACTGTGAAGCATTGAGGAGATACCGTTCGTCAGTCGGCTTCAATTTTCCACTCGAGCTGCGCGTGGTAACTATTTGGGGCAAGGCATGGGCGTAGATGTGTTGAGGGGCTTGCAGACACATTCTTTTTCAGGCTCGCGTTGGGATTTGGTGGTAAGGAGCTTAGATGCGTGGCAAGCTAGGGGTGCATTGACGCTTGTTTTGGTTGCAGGTGGGGCCGTGTGGCTGATCCAAAAGGCAGACGGACTACTTGGCTAGCTCGACCCTGAGGTTTTTGATGATCTGCCGGAGTTCAGTTCATCTTTTGGACTTAGGTCCGAGTACCGAAGGTTTCTGGCAAGCTCTCAGACGACGACGACTGGGAGGTGGCAAGAGAAGATGAGCGCGACAGTGAGGCTGATGCTGGCTGCAATGGTTGAGGTCATCCATGAGCATGGTGGCCACAATCGTGGTTTCGAGGCGCTTGTGAATTTTTCAGCGGGAGTTCGCAAGAGTTTGTGCTGCTGGCACAATGACAGGTATCATTGAAACTCTTCCGAGAGGCCATGCCTGCAATGTCCCAATCTCAGTGTTTCAGCTATTGTTATAGTGTTTCTGCAATGACAAGACTGGTAGAGCACACATCGCTGTGAGACGTGCATCCAGGATCATACTCAGGATATCTCAAGATGCTTTTAGAGACCAGAGTGCAGAAGATGCTCATCGCTAGGTCAATGTGAAGTCCCGCCAAAATGGTTGGATTCTGAATTGCCCCAAGACCAGACAAACACCACAGAGAGCGCCGCGGTTGAATACAGTTGAACTGAGTGTTTTGGGTTCCTAGACTTCAAAACAGAGATAAAATTCTATTTTGTTTTTTGCAGCCATTCTTGATTCAAAACTTCATTTTAGCAGACGGCAGCAAGGAGTTTGCAAAAGGTCCTGGGCAGCCCAGATTTGTTTTTTCGTTAGGTAAATGTCACGTTGGTCACCCTCTTTCTCCACTCGAATTCGACTTGAAGAAGAAGTTATGTTGGCCAAAGCATTCACCCAAATTCGCAAATTCAAACGTCCAACATGTTCACATGGTGAAGACGGAGTGGATCCGTTTTGTTTGTCATTCAGAACATGATGAACTTTCGTTCCTATTCAGAGCTAGAGGAGCTCTCTTGTTGGGACGAGCCTCCGAGCAGCTCGTTTTCTCTATCAAAAACACTGGCCTCTCCGTGTTCTCTTCCCTTCTGAATGGAGGCCGGCTTGCCTGGTGCTTATCTTTTTTCATATACATTGTGAAATGTTCTTTCAGGGCATCAAAGATATCTCCAAACAGGTGCAGGAGTCCAATCTAGGGAAAACGTCCTCCCGACTCCTCGCAAGGTTCGATTTGCCATTTGGTGTCCGCGCTGTTGAAGCATGAAGGAAATGCTTGTCACGTGCAAGTTCATTCCATCCTGTGTCACTGGCATCCTCATGGCGTTTGGGAGATGAATTGTGAAAGTTCATGTGAAAGTTCATGACCTAAGAACTCAAGTTGACATGGAGAGAGATTCTCTCGTGGGAGGACGTCCCGAGCATGAAAAAACAGGTGGCTCCGCGACAAGGACAAGTTCTCGGCTTCAGATACTTCAGACATTGCTGCTTACAGGAGACAGGATCGCGAATCCAGTGAGCTGTCAAGCCAGAGATCCTTCAAAGATCATTCAATAGCATAGGGAAGCCTCGAACTAGCGTGAATTTCAGCTTGGTTTGGGAGCGGGGTCCGGGAGGCCCTGTGGAGAAACGGAGGTTCAATGATGCAGGGTCGTCACTGGCGTCCTGGCTATGGCGAAGCCAGGGCCATGGCCTGCGGCACTAGCCCAATCTCGTTGCCCGATTTCAGGCGGGGCCGGCCCTGCCGCCTTCGTAGAAGACAGCAAGCGATAGCGATAGCAAGAGCAAAAGGGCCTGAGAGATCACCGGGCTCTCAGTTGGCTGTCTTCGGCAAAGCATTTAGCCATTTTACCGCTTCGAGCAACTGAGGGGCTGCGTGTCGGAACCTGCTCACCACGACAGCAACTGTACACACTGTCCGCACATGTCTGTCACATGAACTGTTTCTCGCACACCCCCAAAATGATTCTTGCTGTCGATCAAAACACACAGACTACTTTTCAGAGGCCCATCTCTTGATGTCCTCGTCTTCGACCAAGACTGTCTTGCCCTCCTTGAGCGTTCTCCTCAACAATGACATGGGAGCACCACATTTTGTCATGCTGTCCGCCAGCATCTGTATGTAGGCAACCATCTTGTGGTCACATTGTCACACGCCACATCCTGCTTTACCAGGAGCATTTCGATGGCCAGTCTCTTTTGTCTTTGATGATCATCAGCTGTCCATGTATGTGATCATACACGGGCTTCGACTCCAAGCAAGTTGTGATTGGAACTTGTGCTGACCACTTGTCATGTGTGAAAGCGCCTGCAGTTGTGTAGCCTTGGCCTGTCCGCTGCTGTATCCTCTCGAGGGGGCCCCCTTAGTAGCAAAAGCTACCTGTTCTTGCATTCAAAACATTGTGCGCTCGCTTTCCTTTCGCTTCTGCACTGCAAGCTCCAGTCAGCTTTGTCAGTTGGCGCCGGAGCCTGGTTGGTTGCAGCCATCGCCGAGCAAGTGAATCAGCACTTGACCAGCGTTCTGATTGTCGCAGTGGACGTGCTGCGTGACAGGTTTCTCAAGGAGGTAAGTCTTGCGCAGGGCCGCTCGGTTTTCTCTGTTCCAGTGAAGGCAAGGGCGACAAGCAGAGATCCCCCTCCGGGATAAGCAGCCATGGGGGAAGCCGATGGGGCAGCCCCAGGGTGGACCTACAAAGACAGGGATCCGCCTAGCTTACAGCGGCGAGCAACCACAATCCACCTTTCGCCCTTTCCTGCGCTCTCTGGAAATCTGGAAAGCGTCGACGGATTTGCCGGAAGAGAAGCATGGCTTGAAACTGGTTCAGGTGTTGACTGGTTCTGCGAAAGCCTGTGTGGATTCTTTGCCGATAGCTGAGATAAAAGGCCCGGAGGGGTATTCAAATGTGCTCAAGAAGCTGAAGACGGCTTTCCAGCCCTATGTGGAAACAGCTCTGCCAAAAGCGAGGGAACAAGCGCTGTATGGCCAGCCACGTTCGGCCAAGGAGAGCATTGCTGAGTTTCTGGTTCGGTTCGAGCGATCGCAGGCCCTGTTGAAGGAAGAAGGGGTAGAGCTGCCTACCAAAGCTGTTGGATATCTTCTGGTTAAACAGGCCAACTTGGATTCTGAGCTGGAAGGTCGGTTGATAACTTGGCTTGCTGGAGACTATTCCCGAGACACTGTAACAGCTAATTTGCGGCGGCTTGAGCGGGTCACTGCTGAATCTTCTTCGAAGAGGTCGTAGTGGGACGATGAGGACGAGTTCTACCCTACCTTCCAGCTCGACTCCCAGGAGGGCGAGGATGATGAGGATCAGCATGTGTACGCCCCAGAGGGTTTATTTAACGAGGTCTTAGAAGAGGACGATGTGATGGAGGCTCTGGCTTCGTGTCAGGATACTCGCCGCCAGCTTCGTGAAAAGCAGAAGGGTCGTCAATACTATGCCCCCAAGCAGCATCCCAAGGGCAAGGGCAAGTCAAAGTTTGGTTCCTTTCATCCCAGCTATGGGGGTGGCAAGTCCAAAAGTGGTTTCGGGAATCAGCGTCAAGCAGCTTCTTCGTCTTCGGAGACCCGAAAGTTGCACATAGAGCAACTTAAACTCAGAACACGCTGCAGGAACTGCGGAGAGGTAGGGCATTGGAGCAAAGAATGCCGGAATCGTCCGTCCCAAGGTGCTTCAGGGTCAGGTTCGGTTGCTTCGAGGTTTACTGCTAGAACCTCCTTCTATTGGACTTCTCCAGATGCAGGCAATGATGTCAAGAAGGCTTTCCTGGTTCAGGGCCAATGTTCTTGTTCTTCGCCTCAGGGAACGGATATGCCAGAAGAGACTGCCGCAGAGATCCCACTCATAGGCGTGACCACTTCTCCCCAACTAGGCTTGGTAGACACTGCTGCGCAGGAGGGCTTGATTGGCAGAGAAGCTCTACTTCGACTGGCAGAAGAACTTCGAGGCCATGGTTTGCGCATCAAGTGGACAGGCAAGTCTTCTCGAGCTCGAGGGATCCGAGGGATTGGTGGTACAGCAACTACAGTTGGAGTCTGCGAGTTGCCCATTGGCTTAGGTGGAGTATCCGGAGTGCTGGAGGTGACAGTCATAGCCCAGGATGCTCCTTTGCTTCTTCCCATATCACCGTTGCGATCGTTAGGTGCCGTCATTGACTTGAACACTGATGAGATGCAGCTCGTCAGGGCGGGCAGCCACGGTAAGTTGAAGACCCTTCCTTCAGGCCATTCGGCGGTGAGTGTGTTAGATTGGGGAGAATCATGGGTCTTTCCTCCAGCATGTGTTGGCAAGCGTGTGGAGTCAGACTTTCGTCCAGAAGCGTCCACAAGCAAGCACAGCTTCCAGAGCAATCCTGGCTCGAAGAAGGTTCGCTTTAACGCTTCAGGGCCTACTCCAAGTTCTACCTATGCTTGCATCAGCAGTGCTCAAAGCCGAGACGAGGGGATAGGTCATGGACGCGTTTTCTCGGGTATCCTCAAGTTTTACTTCTGGATCAAGGTACCGAATTTCTTGCAGAATTCCGTGATCGTGCAGCAGAGGTCGGCATGGTAGTGCACACCATAGGGGCAAGAGCACCATGGCAGAATGGCAGGTGTGAAAGACATGGTGGTTTGTTCAAATTGATGTTCGAGAAAGCCAGGTGGCACAATCCTCCAGCTAGTGAAGATGATCATCGTCTTTTGCTTCGTGAAGTTAAGGCAGCAAAGAATCGATTGTTTAATCGTGCGGGATTTTCACCGGCTCAACGCATGCTGGGGCATACGCCCAGGACGAACGGGGAGCTCGTGAGTGACGATGCGATAGATCCAGCGTTGCTAGGCCATGGTCATGAGCTCGAACGTCTGCTTACAGCTAAAAGGGTGGCTCAGCGTGCTTTCTCGGAGGTCAACACGCAAGAAGCAGCTAAACGAGCACTTCGAGGACGCAATCGAGTTCAACGTAGGTTTGCTCCCGGTGAAGTGGTGTTCGTGTGGCGCTCTTGGAAGGATCAAGGTGTCTTGAAGCCCACGTGGGTAGGCCCGGCCGTTGTCTTGATGCCAGACGGTGCGAATGCCTATGTTGCTATTAGAGGGAGTGTCCAATGAGCATTTGAGAGCGTCTTCGTCTACCGAGATTGAGGGCATTGAGGCGGTGCGTCGGGTTTTTGAGGAAGTCAGAGCTAGACATGAAAGATCACAGAGTCGTTTGATTGAGGATCACACACACAAGATCCAGTCCTGCGTGGAGCAGATCGCAGTGCACTTCAAGGTCCGGATCCTGTTGAACAAGAGGGCTTTGTTCGAGGGCTTCCTAGACCCCGAGTTTCCGAAGAACCTGAGACCCCATTTCCTGTGCCAGTCATTCCTGTTGAACATGTGGAGCCTATGCCAATTCTTGAGCCACCAGTTCCGGAAGTTCCCGTGCAAGACGCCGAAAGACAGGTCTC